GTATGGCCTCCTGGACTCCAACCTCGTGCCGGATCTAGCGGCAACCAAGATCGTATCAGGCTCTTTCGTGGTCGGCTCCTTCGCAACTCCAATCGACGCCGGAAGCAACTCCCTGACCGTCGGATCCATCCGGTCGGCCGCAATCGATACCTCCGACCACGACATCAACGCCGGCAGTGGCACCGTGTCGGCCGCGTCGCTCGTAGCTTCCAATCAGATCTCGACATCTAACCTGACGGCGAGCACCGGCGAATTTTCCGGCGGCTTGGTGGTTCGTGGCAACCTCAACGTGGTAGGCAGCCTCGATTACATCGACAGCACCGCGCTCTCGATCGCCGACAAGAACGTCATCCTCGCCAAGACCTCCAACCCTACCGACGCCCTCGCCGACGGTGCTGGTCTGTTCGTGTGCGGGTCGGACTTCCCGACATCGAATGACGCAGTATCCTTCACCTGGAATATCGGCAGCAACGGAGATTACTGGCTGACGAAGGGAGGGGCTCTCGCCATCCGCTCTTCGAACGGCTCCAATGCCACTATATCCGCCGGACCTACCGGCTCTCTCCTCCTCTCCTCCGACGACGGCGTCCACTCCAAGGCCACCCTCAAGTTCGGCTCCTCTCTCCTGCCGGACAGCTCCAGCGTGGATGTAGGAAGCTCGAACGATCGCTGGGGCAACTTCTACGGCAGCAACGCACGTCTCTCGGGTTCCATCACTTCTGGCAGCATATGATCGGCAGCAATTCCCTCTCCCTCACCGGGCCCGTAGCGTCCTCTTCCGCGAGGGCCTCCGCGGTATACTCGACGACGACAGACGCCACTTCCCTAGTGGTCGGGAGCAATCTGACCCTGAGCGCCGGCTCCACCACGAGCGTCTCTGCCGACATCCTGCCCGGCAGCAACGGCGCCTACGACGTCGGAGCATCCTCGAACGCCTGGAAAAACATCTACGCCGGTTCAGCCACCCTCTCCGGATCGCTGTCGGCCAACGGCGCCACATTGAGCGCCCCGCTC